TGGGTCACTTTGCAGAGAACGCATACCAGGGAATCTTATCTGAAGGGCTCTTTGGGAGCATCCAGTTCAACTTCCTCCATCAGGACGCCCACTGGAGCTCATGGGTGCCTCTGGTGGACAATGGAGTAATGACAGCTGCCATAACCAAGCCGCGGCCAAGTACAGTGGCTACACACAATGAAAGTTTATTTCTTACTCAACAGCGTGGGTGTTCCTGACTGTGGCAGCTTGCCACAAGGTGATTCAGGACCACAGGCTGCCTGTGTTGTAGTTTCCAAATCTTCTTTAAACAAGAAGAGAAGGGGAAATGAAAAGTAGAAGAGGCTTCTTAGTCCTCTTGGCACTGAGAGCGTACAATTCATCTCTAAAATTACATTGGTAAAAGCTATTCATATGGCCCCATCTAGCTGCAAGAGAGGCTAGGAAATGCAGTCTGTGTCTGACAATCATGCTTTATTTTTTATTTTTTTATTTTCTGTCTTTTTGAGACAGGGTCTTGCTATGCAGTTCAGGCTGACCTTGAGCTCACTTTGTAGCCCAGGCTGGCCTCAAACTCACAATGATCCTCCTGCCTCAGCCTCCCGAGTGCCGGGATTACAGGCGTGCACCACCATGCCCTGCTGACAACTGTGCTTTGTGAATCCTCCCTGAGGCAAGGGATCTGGACCTGACCACTGTCAGTCATTAGCCCCAGGCTATCCAGGAGGTGAGGAGTGCATTAAGCTCCAAGTTTGATCGAGCTTAGGTCCCTCTTTCCAGCCAACAGCGAGGCCCTTGAGAGAGACACAGGTGTGAGCTGCAGCAGCCAACACTGGCATGCTATCCTCTGAGCAAGATTTCAGAGGATACCAATAGTTCTGGTACAGTCTAACATCTGTGCCACCCAGTTCAACGGTTGCCACCCCCTCCGGTCACTATTCCTCTGCGATTCCCACTGATGTGATTTCGGGACGCTTATAAGAGATGAGTGGGGTAAACTGAACCCAGACTCCTCCACTGGCCCTGAGCCTAGGAGAAGTAAAATCTGGCCCAGGAGGGATTGTTGCTCTTTCCAGGATGAAAGGGGCTGGATATAATCATTTTGGCACCAGGTAGTGGGTTGGTGCTTGAAAGGATTTGCAAATAGGCCCAGCACTGTTGGGGTCGGAGGGGTCTCAGTGTTCTTTGTGGCTGGTGGCGGCATACACAGCAGAAGCCGTAGTTCGGTCAGCTTTGACGAAGGCGCTCGTGCGTAGTTCCCATGAGCCGCCATGCTCTTCAGCTCACAAGCCGACAGTGCAAGAACCGGCCTGATGGTAGAAGGAGCTGGCTTCTGCTAGGTGATTCTTCTTGTCCCTTGGCTGTCCTGCCTCACCTGCAGTGGATTCCTCTGACGGACACTGACAGGTGCTCTGGCTCACTCTCACTGATCCAACCACTCAGACGCTTTTTTCCAGCCTTCCTGTGGCTTCTCTAATCCTGCTCCTTCCAGGCCCTTCACTGCGCCGACAGCCCATGCCGTGCCTGCGATCTGTGTGTGCCTTTGCTGGACGGTTTTCTCTCCATACACAGTAGATAACCAGGAGGCCCACCTGAGGTTCTGGCCCCGAGAGAACTTGCCTCTACCACTGTCAGCCCCAGTGGGCTAGGAGGTAGCTGCAGCCTGTTTTCTGTCTATCAAGATAGGAAGACCAACATTTTTCCTCTGCCATCAGCCGGTGTGAGGCAAGCGCCATGAACGTGTATGTATCAGCTGAAGGAAAAACACTTGTGAAACCTTTCTTTACCTAGCTGGCAATGTGTGCTGTTTTGGACCCCTCCCCTTTTGTTTCTCAAGCCCACTAATGTCTAACTACCTGCCTAACTGCACTGAGATACATCCCCAATCCTTTTTTAATTTTTCCTTTTTATTTTGAGATACGGTCTCACTAAGTTGTCCTGGCAAGAGTTGAACTTACAACCATCCTGCCTCAGCCTCCCAGAGTACTTGTATTACAGGTGTGTACCACCACACCTAGGACTCTGTTTTGATTACTGTTCTCTCATTGCTGAGACAAAATACACAGTGCTCAAAATTAAGGAAGGAAAGGTTGATTTAGCTTACAGTTTGTGGAGGTTTCAGTCTATAATCAGCTGGCTCCAAGGAACAGTGACAGGGCACAGGGGCAATACTTCAAGGCTACCCAAGACAGCAAAAGCAGCATGAGCAGAAAGGGGGGTGGTGGTGGCAGAGAGCAGGATCTTTCCCTTTCTTACACTGTATGCAAACTACCCACCCCAGGGCAGGTGTAGCACTCACACCCATAATCCCAGCATTGGACCATGGATCAATCAAAAACTCTAGAAGCCCGCCCCATGACTGCAGTGTGGCTTTGGGGGACATCCAGACACAAACCATAACATTCTGCCCATGGCCCTCGAAAGATTCATGTACATTTCTTTATGCAAAAGACATTTTAGTCCATCTCTAAGAATTGCCAAAGTCCTAACAGTTTCAGCACTGCTGAGAAGTCCAAGTCACAAGTCTCCTCTGAGATATAAGGCACTCTTTAGTCACAAGCCTCTGTACAAATGAAAAGTTAGACACTTCCAACATTCAATGGCACAAAAAAAAAATTCCATTCCAAAAGGTACAAACAGAAGGATACAGGGCATCGAGACCAAAGCAAGTCCAATATCCAGCAGGGCAAACATTAAGTCCTATAGTTCCATGTCCAGCATCTGAAACAATTTGTGGCACATTGTGAGTTCCAAAGGCCTTGTGTGGCTCCATCCTTATAGCACTTCTGGTGATTACAACTCCCATGGCTTCTCTCTTAGGCCTGCTTTGCTCCCTCCTTGCATCTTTCCTTAGACAATCCACATTCCTGGCTTTTCCAAATTTCTGGGGTCTCCACTGCACCTTTGGCTTCACACACTGCCCTCTCAGGGGCACACTGCCTGGCCTCCCAGGGTTTCTGAAATCTAGGTGAAAGCCTTCTGAACCTCAGAAGTCTTGCAATCTGTATGCACCTAAAATGAGCACCATGTGGATGATGCCAAGGTCTGCTGCCACCCGGAGCAGTAGCCAAGCTTTCCTCTCTCTTGATAATAGGGGTCGAGTGCTGGATCCCTGGGCACTCTGAATCCAGTTCTGAGAAACAAATTCTCTATGCCACCCCCATTCTGGAACAAGGCGCTCTGCAGCTTTCTGCTCAAAGCAAAGTCTTTCATCTTTGCAGGTTTGAGGCTGCAAAGGGTAGAGACTTGATGCTTCTTGTGATGGCCTCAGGCCAACTTCTCTATTCTTCTGTTTCTCCTCAGCAATGGAGATCTCCTCAGCTCCATCTTTGCAGCCCACAGCTGTACTGGCACTTTCTTTCTGGCCAGACTCACAATGTTTTAAATCATCCTGCTGGCCTCTTTGCTCTTGATTCTCAACATAAATCTGGCTAAAAGCCCCACAATAGCCATGCCATTGCCCCAACATTTGACTACCTTGAAATTTCTTCTGCCAGATTAATTAGTCCACCTCCCTTAATCTCAGTCTCAGGCGGTCTCTGGACATGAGCAAAATGCAGATAAACTTTCTGCCAAGCCATAACATAGATCATCTGGAGTCCAGAATCTCCCAGACAGAACAGCTGAAGGTGCTCCAGTGCTTCTCTTTCAGGCAAAATCTCCAAACCTTTCCCAACTCTTCCCACAAGCCATTCTGAAAGGCTCTTGAACCACATGGTCAGGTATAGTCATGGCAATGACCCCACTTCTCTGGTACCAAATTCTGTCCTGATTACTGTTCTCTTGTTGCTGAGACAAAATATCTAACATCCAAAATTAAGGAAGGAAAGGTTTGTTTAGCTCACACTTTGTGGAGGTTTCAGTCTATAATCAGCCGGCTCCAAGGAACAGTGGCAGGGCACAGGGGCAATACTTCAAGATGGCACAAGACAGCAAAAGGAGGGGCTGGGGATTTAGCTCAGTGGCAAAAGCGCCTGCCTGGCAAGCGCAAGGTCATGAGTTCAGTTCCCGGT